CTTAAACCTCGTCCATAATCCAAAGTCCCAACCCTAACCCCTAATGGTAACTTAATGCAACAAGATCCTCATTAAGCACCAAATCCTTAGTGTTTCACCTCTAAAGTTTCCAGAAATATTTCACACTCCAAAGAGTCCTTAAAAATCTTGGCTTTATGGACTTCCATGTCTAATACATGCCTTTTTCATTTTAGGTCAAAAATAGGGTTTAATGACCAAAAGCCTCATGCATGACATCAAAACTTGATTATAATTCAGATCCAAGACACTAAATACTCTATTTAACCTGGAGATTCATAAAGTTGCAAACTTTATGAGATTCCATTACTTAAGTTCATCAAAACATGGAAAAAAGGGGACAAAAACAATAGATCTAGCCACATGACGAGAAAAGGTTGAGTCTTGGACACTAACCAAGATCCAAGAGATATTCTAGGTGAAGAAATGATGCTTTCCAAGCAACCACCTCACCAAGAGCTTGCTTCTCCTTCTAAAAATCACCAAAAGGCACCAAGAATGAGCTCACAACTTCAATGGAGGCTAGGGTTAGGGTTTCTGAGGTTGGGAGGAAGATGGAGGCTGAAACCCTAGCCTTAATGTTCCTTATATATGGTCCAAAGCCCAAAATTAGGGTTTTTACAAACACACCTGCCACGTCGTGGTGTCCCAAGGCCACGTCATGGCAGGTCATTTAAATCATGCGACCCAAAATGTTCTGACATGTCGTGGTGATGCTCCACCACGTCGTGGCCATCCATTTTTAAAGTAAATACAAGAAAGTTGTATCATACCTTAACCGGATGTTACACATGATAGTATAAGGATAATGTTAGTAAAGACTCCTAAATTCCTTGAATAATCCATTTTGTGCGATAAAAGGATATGTTCATTAGATTGCATGGTATATAACGGAAAGAAACACATAACCCTAATATGTGGAAAAATATAGATCAACGATACTTAATAAATATGGAGATATTCCAAGGGTCACAAGGAACACATGATGAAGACAGGAAGGGTATAAGTGGCTCAAAGACACTGGAAGATTTTGCAGAAAAGAAACAATCAGACTTGCGATTACATAGGCTTAGAATTAGCCACTTTGCATGGTTCTTGTTTGATATATTACCTTAGGGTAGAGACAATTATACGAATGCCTATTTAATTAAAAGTTAAGGATTGTGTAATACTAAGATATTAACACATAAATAAATCATCAACTTTACCTTAGACGAACTAGAGGCAGATAAGTACGGTTAGGAGTTCAAGTACGTATATGAGTATGGACGGAATCACCATGAGTCAAGTCGAGATTCAAGGAAGTATACGAGTAAGGTCTATAAAGGAATAACATGGATTGTAGCTCCATCAAGAGATGTAGCCTGATGACCTTGTTTGGTTCAGAAGCGATGTCGAAGACATAATTATTATAAGTGGTGCAGAGTTGTAATGCCATGTTTTCACTTTTCCAGATGATAAACTATAAACGTTGGCTTATAAAATATAAGTCAAAATATATTACTTTTTATCTAAAATAATGTAAATAAAAGTTGTAGTAGACGTACATAAGAACCCGTGGATATAATAAACATCGAAAATTGAACTTGTATGAGAAAGTTACAATTATCCGAAGATAAGAAGAAAATAGCAGCTTACAAACCAGCACCAACCAACCACTAGCATTTATGAGTTGCAGGTTCGGCCAGAGTCTTGCACATCTTTCAAATCTCTCTCGTCCTCTCGAGATCTCAGTCCCTCATGATTTGATTTCTTGTTCTTGAGTGCCTTTAACGAAGCATTGAAGCATTGGAAGGATCCAACAAGATAATGATTAAGCTTCGAAGTTATGCTCGTCGTTTCCGAGTTATACGTCAATTGGGTAAGCTACACATCCGTTTAAGTTTAACCGGTTATAGAGTATACCCATTGTCGTTATTATGAACCCGAGTATGAGATTAATCATTAATCATAATTATTAAACTGGTTGATCTACTTACGGGAGCGGTGTCTAGGATAGACAAGTTGGCCTAGTTGTTAGATTTTAGAAAGGCTATATGTCGAAATGGTTCTGCTCCTGACTGTCTTGACTGGCTAATCCTTATTTGATAATCATTTTAGTATTAATGGGATCAATGAAGGATCTAGTTATTAGTTACTAGATTGAATAGTTATTGATCAATTATATTATTATAGGTTGATACGTGATTGGCGTGTCTGGTCGCCAGTTGAACCAGTTAGTAGTTCAAGTGGGTTACACTAACTCATTTATTATGTTAGTTCTATATGTATATGTGTTGATCATGAGTGACCCTATAAGGGGAAGTGGTCAAGGTTACAGACAATCATGAGTGACCCTATAAGGGGAAGTGATTAGTGTTCAGTCGATCATGAGTGACCATATAAAGGGAAATGATCAGTTTTGAGTCGATCATGAATGACCCCATAAGGGGAAGTGATCAATTTTCAGTTTGTCATGAGTGACCCTATAAGGGAAAGTGACGGTATAGGGTTGGTATCGACAGTATGTGTTAGGATTCGTATGTTATGTTATTATATGAACCTATGTGTTATTTTGAAGGTATATGATTAATATAATGAGTGAGTGTTGTGTAGGCTCACTAAGCGTTTTCGCTTACCCTAGATGTTTTTAATGTTTTCAAGATTATCAAAGAAGAATCCAGCTTGACTGTAGTAGCATACGTATTATGATTTTAAATCTACTTTAATAATATAAAGTCTTTCATTATTTAGTCTCAATGACAATATGTTATGTAACACTGGAAATAATGATTTTTATGAATGATGTTTTATTATCAGTTTTTAATTAGTTTTTAATCGGGATCAAATATTTTTTTATCATAAAAGGATGTTACATAATAAGATGGCTACATTGATATAATTACAAACTTTTTTTTCCTTTCTCATCTTGAAAAACATTAAAGCTAATTAAATGTAACATTTTTGCAACTTGAAAAACGTGTAAAAATAATGTCCACATATTTTAGAATTCGAAAACAAGAAGTTATTGTCTTAGAAAAATTTATATGAAGGTAAAAGAACATGGAGACATGAATTGCCGATATTTCTATCACATGCAAAGGTCCAAAAGATATTTTTGTATGCCTCATGCTAAAATTATAAAGAAAATAATAAATATAAAGTTGAGTAGATGGTTTTAGCATTAAACGCGTCATGAAGCATCATATTTTAATCATACCAATTTGTATTTTTCTATAAAAACTATCGATGGGAACCTTTCACTATTATCATGGATTATCACCATGACATAATCTATAACGATTATATTGCAAGAACTCAATTAAAAAGTATAAGAACCAATTAATATCGGTTGCTTCTTTTGATAAAGTTAAATTAGTTATAATACTATTAAAATAAGATAACATAATGATGATAGATCGGTTTTCAGTTCCATTATTTTTATTTGTTCTAGTTCAGATTCCATTCTGGATTTGAACCCAATGCACAGTTGCATAGCCGGCCACCCCTAAACAAGATTGGAAAGGTGAAGGTGAGATGAATTATGGCCATTTAACATCTTCAATAGACAAAATTTGAAAAGATGGAATGGAATTGCATATTCCAAAACGTTATCTTGAATTGAATATATGGCAGTGTATGAGCTGTAGAAGATGCCCCCCACTTCTTTGACCACGCAATTAGTGGGTCAAAGGTCAAACCTAAATCTTGTCATTGCGTGATAGCTTCCCACTTTCCTACCCCCATTCCTTTCTATTTTCATCTCAACCAAATTTAAACACGCACACACAAAACAACATAATAATGGTCACCAATAATGCATGCATGAACCATATTTTTATCTAAAAAGTGAAAAAAAGGCATCAAATGGTCAAGAATAAGTTGATGGGAAAAAGGATAAAAAATACACCCATCAAATCTTTCAAAAAAAAAGAAGAAAGATTTCGTATCTGGACAAGCCTTGGATTTTGTTTGATATTCATTCCTGTAAAACAAATGGAGCTAAAAGACATAATGGTTCAGAAACATGTAGAGCAAAAGGTACAGTCGCCCCTTTGAATTCACACTGTATATATTCAGACCCAAGTCAAATAAAATAATACATTGAATAACACACCATGATGTCATCTTGCTGGCAAGATACAACCCACAACTTGAAGTTATTGGTTTATAGCATGGTACCTTAAACTCACCACACAAAGAGATTAAAAAAATCACAAGTCCCCTAAGGGGTTGTTTTTTTTCACTTGATTGGCTTAATAGGTTAAGCACATAATTTGGACAGTTATACATAATTGTTTCATTTTTTATTTGATACGGACAAAATGTCTTAATGAATTAAGCTAAAAACATGGCCTAATGAATTGTTTGTGATAACGTGCCCCCTAGCACGGGCTAGAAGTCGCGCTAAAGACGACTCAAGGCAGGCCGCTAGGCCAAACTACTCCCAGCGTAGCTGCCCCGACAAAGTCTCGCGCCCGCGAGCGTCCCTCCAGAGTTGAACGAATGCGTAGAAGGCTCAGCCCTCAGCGGGCGTCTTCTACTCCGCGACAAACCCAACGGCTCCAAGCGACAAGGAGTATGCTCAGAGCATTACTACCTGAACCAATCGTTAGATCTGACACAACGAGGAGCACGATTAGCCAATCAAGGCGTCAAATCCTGTCGGACGACATTGTCCCCGTACGGACTCGCATGAGGCCTCAGTATAAAAGGCCTCCTCTGCCACCTCAAACAGTAAGCTATTCTCCCTCAGCTCAAACCATACACTCTCAGTTCAGTCACTGACTTGACCGTCAGAGCGTTTTTCCGGGAGCTCCTCCTGAAGAACGATTGATGATTTTCCCCTGTTGTGACCTTGCAGGTCTTCTCGGAGTGACCAGAACCACCTTGCAGCAATCAGAGCCATGACATCAGATAACTTGAGGACCAGGTAGCATCATTTGGCGCCGCCCGATGTGTAACAAATGATAACCAAAAACCACACATCATCAACCTCGAAGATGACAACTGAAAACACCGGCGAAGCTAGCGAAACGCCGAGACATCCAATCAGATCCATGATGTCGTTGAAACCAGACATCACTCCCATTACCACATCATATAAGTCGACAACCGTCGTGACTAATGCGCTGCATTTCGGTGGCCCAATGAAGATCAGCACCCCGATGAGTGAACTTTGGAGGCCAAGAATGGAAGAACTGATACCTTTTACCAATACGCCGCCGCAAAATTTTCCATTAAACAACCATCAAGTGACATCGATTCTCAGCAACATAACACCGCCGATAGTACAAACCACTGTTGGAACATTCACTTTCATACAAACGCCACCTCCGCCGGTAAACCAAGTTGTCGGTGAACAAACCACCACCCTCCATGCAACCTCATCCACAACAACCACACCACTCTCTACGCCATTACAACAATTTCCACCATTCACAACAAACCAACTATTCTCAACAAACCAACCATTCTCAACAAACCAAATGTTAACAACGAGCCCTCTATTCACAACAAACCCGCCACTTACCTTCCCACTCCGACCTTAAAGCTTCTATGGCCCAACTCCAACGCACCTCTCAACATAAAACAACATGTTGGTGCAACCTTACCTCACCACCCAACAGTTCCACCCCAATCACATCCTCCAGATCCCAAACCAACATTGCTTATCTAGAAGTGTGACATCCCCTTTCGCAAAAGAACTCTTAGACTACGAAATACAAAATATTGCAAAGTTACCACACCTCAAAACCTATCACGGGACTACTGATCCAGATAGCCACATCGACACATACGAGTGGACTGTGACCTCGCTAAAGATAGACGAGCATTTTTGGTACACGTATTTCCCAACAACATTAGATGGGAATACAAGAACGTGGTTTAAGACACTCCGCCCAGTGAACATCTACAACTTTGGCCAGCTAAAGTATCTCTTCTTTACGGACTTCATGCAACTACGGAAGTACAAGGGAGATTCACACTCCATTGTTGGCTGTAAACAAAAGGAAGTGTAGACTGTGAGAGAATACTTTGCGAGATTCACCAAAGCTACCTTGGATGTTCCTGGACACACCGAAGGGCTGATAGTGGGAGCTTTCACATGGGGCCTTCTTCTCAGCCCCCTGTCCCAGAAGCTCATGGGGAAGATACCCCAAACACGAGTTGGGTTGAAAGAAAATGTAGAACGCTACCTAAGTCAGGAGGAAGGAGAGGCAGAAAAACAGGCATATCTCAACGCTATGACCGCCCCAACCACAAAACAACATCACCAAGCTACCTAACATCAAGAGAGTCAGGGAGGAAGTAGACACTTTGGGTGTATGAGGCACCCACACGGGTACTTCATGTCATTCCCAATAGATGAAATACGAGAACGGCGACTAGACATCTATGTTGTGGCCGATAGACAGGCAGGAAAGGGGGTGAAAGGATGCTACTGCGAATACCACAAAAGCAAGACCCATGATATCGTCAACTGCTCGGTGCTAAAACGAGAAATAAAGGAGAAACATTTAAAAGGGAATTTGATAGAGATCGTACGGAGCCTCCGCACCAAATTCAATGCCGAGAATGGAAAGGATGGCGTGAAAGCGAATGACAATCCCCAGGAAATCCTGACCATACGGGCAAAGAGAGGACGTTCATGGGGACGGCAGTAGAACAGATAACATCACAAGATTCATGCAAGGCGTAACTTTCTCAATGACAGACCCATGCCCCGCAGGATGGAGGGGGGACAACCCGTTGATAATCCAAGGATCTATAAGAAACACTATCATCCATCGCGTGTATGTGGACATTGGCAGCTCAGCAAACAACATCTACGAACATTGTTTCCACCTCCTTCCAGACAGATGGAAGGAGGGCCTTAAGCCCGCAACGGGACAGCTGACATGATTTACGGGGCACATCATGTGGCCCCTATGTACGATCCAGTTACCGTTCACACTAACCAACCACGATAAAACGAGGCGGAAGACGGATCTCATCAACTTTGTCGTCATACGACAGCCAACAGAGCACAAAATTATACTAGGACAAATAGCTTTATTCAGGTTCGGAGTGATACCGTCCACCATACACGGAGTATTGAAATTTGGCACAACAAAAGAAACGAGGACAATCCTGGTCACGCCACCAAAAGAATTACGATGCTACGAGATCATGCAGCCAAAGGAAATCACTAAAAGAGGCTAAAAAGGCATGATCTGAATTGTCCAGTGGAAGGGAAATCATCAATACGGAACACCCGGACCAACCAGTCAACATAGGATTCAACCTCCCTCCGGCAATAAGAGAGGAGCTGGTTGACCTATTGAATAAATACAAACATGTTTGTTTATGGACACCTACACCATGGTGGGAGTAAACAGAGAAGTCATTGAGCACAAGCTAATAATGAATCCAGGGACCAAGGAGGTAAAGCAGAAGAAGCGTATCCATGGAGGAGACAGGGACAATGCGATCAATGTCGAGGTAGCCAAGTTGACCAGGGCATGGATACTCCGCGAAATGATATTCCCAACATGGAGGAGACAGGGACAATGCGATCAATGGTCAAGAAGCACCATGACACGTGGCGTATGTGCATCGACTATTTCGATCTAAACAAGGCCTACCCCAAAGACTGTTATCCCCTACCAGAGATCGACCAAAAGGTGCAGTCTTTGCAAGGGTTTATGCTAAAAATGATTCCTAGACGCGTACAAGGGGTGCCACCAAATCTTGATGAGTAAGGAAGACGAGGAGAAGACTGCCTTTTACACAGACCACGATGTGTTCTGCTACCAGAAAATGTTGTTCGGCCTAAAAATGTAGGGGTAACCTGTTGGATTTGGTGTCCAAGCCCATAACTATTATTGGGTTGTACTTGACGCGATTGTAGCATGGTCCTTTTGGGTTGCCTTCACCAGTGCAATTTGATAGGATGGACTTTTGAGAATAAGGTTATTTATGGTTTATTAATATATTACAAGTATAATATATTAATATGAAATTATTTAATTACTATTGATCAAGAATTAATTTGGAATTAATTTTATGCTCAAAAGAGACTAATTAAATATATGGGATTGATTATGTAAATCAATGATTCTTGTAGTGTGGGCCAATGATCCATGATTATTTAGATGGGCTAATCCAATGAGATAATCCATGGATAGTCCATGGAGGTTAAATCCATGGAGCATGAGAATGTGGAAAGTCATGGGTCATTAGGGTTTACAAAATGTAACCCTAGCATGTGCAACACTATGAATAGAACCCTCATGAACCAAAATCGGTTACACCTTCTTTTTTGAGCTAAGTAACTTATTCTCTTAAGCCACCTTTTGCATATTGGTGTTTGTGAACCATTAGAGGCATCACACTAGGGGTGCTCAAGCTTTCAAAGGTCAAGAACTACTAGTCCTTCTAAAAGGTATGTCATCTAACTAAATGTATTATTCATTTGACAATTTGTATGCTAGTAAGGAGAATGCTTTGGAAAAATTAAAAATGCATGTATAATTATAGAAAACATAGATCCAAAGCATTTAGGGTTGCATGTGCACCACAGGAGTGTTATAGTGCTGAAAACCCAAAAGTGGTATCAGAGACAGGTTTGTTTTCTATTATATTTGATGCTTATAAATGTTTCAAAGCTGAAAAAGTCGATTTTCATGCACCTAACTGGTGAACTCGCCGAGTACATGAACAGACTCGACGAGTCCACTTAGTAACAGAGCAACTCGGCGAGCCAGTTCATGCACTCGACGAGTTGAAGGCTCTGTTTGCAGAATTTCGAGTTTCTTGGCCTGGTTTGGATTGGGAACACTACCACAAACTGTTTTGAATCATTGGAAATGTTTTTTATGATATGGTAGTGCTTGTACTTATCCAACCACAAGATAATTGTTAAAGTTTTAAAAAAATAATTGTTGTTTTATATGATAAACCAAGTTGCTTGCAAATTGTTGACTTAGAATTATCTTGTTTATGAGTTTGGTTAGATCATCCATGAATTATGTGATAATTGTTTTTTAGAAAATGATCTAAATGAATTTTAATGACCTCCATAACTTGTCCTCAAGTTATGGAAAATGAAAGGTCTCATACATTATAATCCAATTAAACTCATAAGTTATGAATGTGAAGAGTTTTGGCAAGTTTCAAAACTTGTCCTCAAGTTTTGGAATTTGTAAAGTCACACTAATGAAAAGTTAATTCCAAACCCTAGAGTTTTAAAAGTTAAAATTCAACCCTTATACTTTATAATATTATAAGTTTAATAATATATATATATATATATATATATATATATATATATATATATATATATATATATATATATATATAAAAGACAAAGTCAGTCTTACCGTTAGTAGGCCTCATTCACAAAGCCGGTCTATAAGGGGGGGGGGGTATAAGGTTACTGCCTATAAAATGGTAGTTTAATGGGTGTCCACTCTCAGCCACCGCTTCCTTCACTGGTGGAGGGTCGTTAGCCGAACGGGTAGGATAGGACATTAATTCTCCCTCATTAAAAGTATAATAACAAAAAAAAAATAAAGTAACTAAACTTTTTATTAAATTCCCAATCTTAGTTACTTTAGGAAAATGTGAAAATGGTGCTAATCCATGAAATTACACTTTGTACCCTTCTTAAGTCGTTAGTGAAGTGTGTGTGGTTAACCGACACACTAATCTGGGACTAACAATGTGTGGCAAAGGGTAGCTTGATGTTAATCATAGATCAATGGAGCGTGTGTGGTTAACCGGCACATTGATTAGATGATTTGTAACACTGGGTGCACCAAGCTAATTTGCATGGTTATTCACTCCTTGTTTGTGATCCTCGGCATCCTAATCACAAACTTGAAGGACACAATCGAGATTTAAACATGCCATTGAAAAGTTCAATGAATCTCAACGGATCTAGGAATTTCAATCCAATTAAAACTTAATAATCTATTTCGTTTTTGGAAATTAGTAAATCATCATTTACCTACCTTCAAATATTTTACAATTGGATTACGGCATCCCTTTTCGCAATGGTAGAATATTGTGTTGGGTCCTAGCCTTAATATTTCATTTGGGTGTAATATTAAGGATTATCATCTAATATAAACTTTGTTCTTCTTCTTTTACAGATGTCTATCCCAAAAAATGCTTCCAACCCAATCCCTTCAGGCTCTTTCTCCCTCATGAACCTATGTGGGAGGGTCATTTTCGATGGCTCGAACTTCAATTACTGGATTCGAAACGCCTGAATGGCTATTCGTTATGAGGACAAAGAATATGTCCTAGATAAAGAGCTTAAGGAGATTGATGTCAACACTGCTACTCTTGAACAAATCGATGAACATACTACTCATGAGAGGGATGCGATAAAGGTGTCGTGTCTAATGATTGCTACCATGACTGTAGAGCTGCAGAAGTCCTATGAGGACTACTATCCTTTTGAAATGTATCAAGATTTGATGGAAAGATACAATCAACGTGCTCGGCAGGAGAGGTATGAGATCATTGCCTCCATGATCACAACTAAAATGAAGGATGGTGA